CATCAACGGAGGCGGCGCGGTATAGGTCTTGGCGAACTTGGCGTTTCCCTCAAGAAATCGAGTGAGCATCTTGCTGGCCATGTCAAAGTGTTTGTTTCAAGGTTTCGATTTGGGATGAGCCGGTCGAGTGCTTGAGATGCTTCCAGTTCTGTTTGCTGTGTTGGGAACTGGTAGTCGAATGCGTGTAGGTTTGGATTGAAGGAGATGAGGTTTGCTGCAGGTTTCAGTTGTTCAGGACGCCACTCCAGGGGTTTATATCCCATCACGGCCATCTTTCCATTCTCATGATACGCACGCAAACAAGCATTCGCACCATCGATCCCTACGGCCTCCGCCAAGGCTCGAAATCGGTAGTAGTAGTAATCAAGCGATTCCCCGTTTGACCCGATCTTCGAGTCCCTGGGCTGTGCCTCGTATCACTTAGTCAGGAGGATTTTGCTGCAGCAATTGTCAGCCCGCGAGTGTGCGCCCGCGCCCGAGCCCGCGCCCGCACCCCGCTCCCGCACCCGGGGCACGTTGTCACTGCAGACGTCAAATCAACACAGAGGTATGTACCAAGCCTCTCCAATCGACGCCGAAGTCTTACCAGCCCAATCCTCCTCGGATTTTCTCTCACCACAGTAATCGTCTAACGGCCTTAGGACAACACGAAAGGTGTAATTCTTGTGAAGGCAAGTGAATATCCCTCGTCATGAATAATTATCAACCATGTAGTTTGGGAAACGGCCGGGAGGGTGGGAAGATGGAAGGGAGGTTGTATATAAGCATGATTAAGTCTCCCTGGCTTCAGAGAACTTCCAAGCTCAACACCACACAACATTCAATAACGCAACAGTACAAAACTTCCAAACAAGCATTATTCCTCAAGTATCGTCCAATCCCCTCAGGTTTCAGAATATCGCAATGAATTCCAAACGTATCCTTATCATCGGCGGCACCGGCGCGCAAGGCTTCGCCATCGTTCAAGCACTTCTGAACGCATCCCCAGCCTACGAAGTCAGAGTCCTCTCTCGCAAACCGGATGCGCCAAACACCAAAGCCGCATTCGCTGGCCTGCCAGTCGAGTTTGCAAAAGGCTCTTTCATGGACTTTGATGCCATTAAGGCCGCCCTGCAAGACTGCTATGGTGTCTTTGTCAACACTGATGGTAAAGCTCTGATTTTGACAGAATCTGATGATCCAGAAAGCTGAGTGAGTGTTGTCCAGGATTCACCGTCAATGAACGAGACGAACTGTGGGCCGGCGTGCGGATTTGGGAAGTTGCGAATTTGATTCCCACGCTCAGACATTTCGTCTATGGTAGCATCGACTACTACCTCCAACATACCGGTTTCGACATGAAGTACGGGGCGCATCATACCAAGTAAGAGAAGCCCACCACATGGTTGACGCCGGATGCTAACAGCCAAATAGTGGAAAAGGACGCGTTAACTCGTATCTTCAATCACAGGCTTCCGAAACCTCTGAAACAGGCTTGACTTGGTACGTCGCAACCTCTTGAACGGCCAGACGAGAGCTAACTCTGCCATAGGTCCATCCTCAATACTGCCGTATACGACGAGGACCTTTTTGGTGGACCGTTGATGGCACACATCGAGGAAGACGGGACCCGCACCTTTGCTTTCCCACTCGGTGACGGACATATTCCCATGATGACTCTCCGGGATATGGGAGTTTTCACTCTGAAGGTGTTTCAAGACCGTGAGCGGTGGTCGGGAAAGACTTTGAACCTGGCCTCGCATTTCGCCACTGGACCGGAGCTCGCCAAAGCTCTCACCAAGGCGGCCGGCGTCAAAGCAGTGTACAAAAACATCAGCTATGAAGAATGGACTGCCACTCTGGAATTCGCAGACGCGCCCGTCGCGACTACAGATCCAGAAGGCATCACCGTGGGCCAGAATTTTGCCATGTGGTGGCCAGGGTTCCAAGACAGCATTCTCTTGCCGACCAGGGACATGAAACTGTTGAAGGAGATCCATCCCGAATTGGAGACCCTGGAGGGGTGGATGAAAAGAGTTGGACATGACGGAACAAGAAAAGGAGTTTTGAAAGGCTGGATCGATGCTGGTATTGGACCAAAGGCTTGACTGCTGTTATGTTGTAGCTTGATTGAATAGAATCCGGCGTTCGAGGTTGCAATCTCTAGGGCGGCCGTCGAACGTCATGAGAATAAAAGTGGCCGGATCTGAAAACATAAACACAACTCATCCAACACCGAAGCGCCCGACGATGCGAAACACTCTCCGCTCTCAAGTGGTGCAATGTATGGATGCGTTTGTTTGTTGGCCGGGGGCCGGGGGGGGAGCCCGTCGTTTAACCAACGCTACAGAGGCTGTTCCATGTTGTACGTGGTGTGGGTACCAGTTATTTATTGAGCCTACCTTGGTCTTAATAGCTTGGCGGCAGCCGCTTGTCAACCGGTGCCAGATTATCACCACTGGCTCGTCGTTCAGAAGCCTCGGGATTCATGTGACATATGGTGGTTTGTAGCCGCTTCATTGCCTCCGCTCGCTCATTTGGGTTCCGTGCATGAAGAGCATTACTGCCGAGTTACCCACCTCGCATGCCTCAAGGGCATCAAGATATTTGCCTGCGATCAACCAACGTTGCTTGAAGGTTCCAAGGATTTGCTCCAGCGAATTGAGATTTCGTTGGTAATCCGCCTCTCCTGTTCGCTTGGCAAGTCGTTGCTGTACTACGGCCGCTTGATATAGGGAGTATGGAACAAATGGTGACATCACCCCGATATTGCGTTTAGCAGGGTCGCCGAACAAATGCTTGGAGAATAGTGCTATTCGGGTGGACGTCGATTCTAGCGATTGCAAAAATCGCGCGTTGTTCGTCCTCGGCGTAGTGTGTGGACGATAAAGCAGCATCGTAGAGCGTGAAAAGGCCGCTGAAGGCAGTCAGCGCTCGAAGCAAGCGAATATGGTTCTCATTACTTGCTGCAGAGACCCATCGCGGCACAGAACAGGCCAAAATGAGTTTCTTGCTCCATGAGTAGAGGCAAAAAAGCGTTCAAGGTCTGTTCGAGTTGGACGGCCTCTTCTTTCTGGAAGGTGGCATCCGTGGCCGGATCGAAGACATGTCGAACCACTCTTCCGATCAGGTGCGCGGCCTGGCACTCGCGGGCGAAAGGGCCGACTCTGATATTAGAAGGAGTGGAAAGGTTGATGTTGGGAGCTTCAGCGTACACCTGTTAAATATCAGTATTGAAGTCCCAGGGACAGGGTTGGCAAGATCACATCGTTTTCCCATGCATCGAGCTCGATTGGAAGAGTGTCGGTTGGCTGAGGGTCATCGGCGGCGAAGATTTTGTCTCCCGTAAAGAGGCTGATGGACCTATCCAAAACGAAGATAGCCCACCACAGTCGCTTTCGCAGCTCAATCAACACTTGATCTTCTAATCCCGTATCAGCTTGCCTCTTTTTCAGCCCAATTGATCGTGCCGCCCTCGCGCACGCCGCTATGGACATAGATGCAGCGGGATATATGCCGTGTCCCATTTCGTAAAGGACGATTAGGACCATAGCTTGGATGAGTTCCAGCGTAGGCATAGTGAGAGACTGTAGGGCTCCGATGAAACTCTTCGCCATGACATAGGTTGAAGAATGCATCGTCTGGGCATGATGCCCGGCAGATTCCACTTCGTCGGGTCGCCGAATGAGCAGATGAATAGAAAGGCATAACAGTGTAAAATTCGCCCGGGGATGCGAGTACAGTGTTGATACCTGGCTCAGAAATTGCTTTCGTGATATTATGGGCACCCGTATGTAGATTCCGGCAAAATACCTGGTTGCGGTCTCTCCCATCTGCTGGACATCGCCCAACACGGTCGAGGCCTGCCTGGTAATGAAAAGGTCCAGCGTCGCGTCCCTGAGGGTGGGAAACTGGAATGGATCGATATCAATACTTGATGGAATCGAAAGGGCTGTCTGATACTGGTCTGGAGGCTCTATCGTGATAGACGAGCTGCCAGGGTTTGGGTAGACCTGATTGGATGCGGGCTCGTAATGGCATTCGCGGCCGACTCTGTTCTAGGTATCAGATCGTGGCGAATGGTAGAGGAGCAGCGACCATACCGACTGCAGGTCCCGCAGGCGGGCAACGCCTTGTTGCACTTGCGCTTGTGATGCTTGCAGGGGGTACAGGCAATCAAGGCCACTCCGTATTCCATTTGTGCATCCATCCTCGTCGGTAATGTGCAGATTCCTCAGAGAACCGCAATCGTAAGCCAGCGGCGTTAGAGGCTAGGTGTTCCGCTCACTGCGGCTCGAGAGAAATGCATGATTGCCATCTCAGCGTGGTCCGTGGCCGGTGAGAAGCTGTTTAATTACGCCCACTGATGAAGGGTTATCCATGATGATGGATTGATAAGTGCACGAGGTTACACAGTTTTCATAGGATGCTTAGACCGTAAAGGCTAGCTCCACGGCCTATCGCGGCTTCTGGGCAGTCCAAATGTTCCTTTTCTCAGGGATACGGCAGCCGACCGAATCTGTCCAGGCACAGGGCGGCATCACTAACCTACCCAATCGGGGCGAACACTTTACCACGTTTACTTTGCTCGGTACCTGAAATACACACACCTGGTCTCAGTTCCCCTCGAATAACCCTCACCACCATCTCACATCGCCGTCAGCATGGTCGTCCTCGCCGCCTCCATCTGCACCCGCGGCGGCAAGGCCCTGCTGTTCCGCTCATTCACGGAGATCGTTTTCTTGCTAGTCACACTCTTCCCCTTCACGCAACATTTGAAAGACTCCTATTGCTTCCTGTGCTTTGCGCGAATGCACATTGAAATACCTCTTCTTTGCCCGCCTCAAGCGAAATCCTCCCTAGCTTGCCATCGATGTTAATAGTAAGAGTGCCATTCCAAATGCAGCAGTTCGCCGTACCTCTGGAGCTCTTCTGAAGCCAGTATAATAACAAATTCTGAAGGTGCTCGTCGTAGAAGTTATGAAGCTACATTTCGTCATGTACAGATAGACTGAGAAAACATGGGTGACAGAAGTACGTCTTCGGATCCCCAACAGACCAGACACGGGCCAGACGAGAAAGGTAATGCGCTTCGCGGCCACTAACACGTCTTCTAAGGACACTCGTCAGAGGCATTTCTCCCTCCGGAATGACGAATTTCGTCCCGGGAGGGGCCTCTACAAGCTGAACAGGCATGTAATTAAAGAGACAAGGGGCCTCTAAAGCTAGTTTCAACAAAGCCATGGAGGAGACTGCATATCGCCCCAATCTTAAAGTCCTGCGGGCCCAACGGGGCAACTGCTGCCCATCAGTGGTTAATGCGGTCTTCAGGTGTTTCAGATGAGTTCTTTTAGCTTCCAGAGCCCGCTGAATATGACTGACTAGGCTTTCGGGGTTAAGATCCGGTGGCAGCTCTCGTATAGTCAAGATGTGTGTAACCCATTCCAGGGTGCCTTGATCATCAATGCGTCCATCATACCGTCACCCGATCGCACGGACGAGAAGAAACAAAGAATATCAGCTTCCACCGCCGCTTGTCGGGCTTCGAAGACCTGCCGGTGGCCATCGGGGAGGTCAGTCGGCTATTGGGCATCAAGGGAGCTCATAGCGAAGGAGGGCCAGCATTTGCTTCCGATGTGCTTCGTATTGAGGGCCGTGGCCCTGTGGGCGTGCACCTTAGTATCGTCAATGTTCCTGGCTTGATCTCTGTGGCCAACGAAGAACAGACCGACGATGACGTGGAAACGGTACAAGGATCGTGGATGGCTATATTTCCGACCGCCGGAGTATTATACTCGCAGTGGTGCAGGCTGGAAATGATATCGCCAACCAAAGCATCATCAAGAAATCTCGTTCTTTTGATAAAGACGGAGAGAGGACAGTGGGCATCATCACGAAACCAGACCTAATCAACCAAGGTTCAGAGAAGCGCATTGTCCTACTGCCATCAAACAAAGACACTACGGAACTGAAGCTGGGATTTTTCTTGGTGAAAAATCCGGCCCCGAATGAGCTAACGAAAGGCATTACACCTCAGCAGAGACAAAAGGACGAGATCCAGTACTTTCACACCCCTCCATGGAAAGAGCAGTCCCTCGATCCCGCACGACTAGGTATCGTTGCGTTACGAACATATCTACAGCAACTTTTCGATCGACACATCGAGAAAGAACTGCCCAAAGTCCGACACGATGTGCGCGAGCTGCTTCATAAGACTGAAGCTGATCTGGCGACCATGAGCGAGGAACGTGATAGCGCTTTGAAAATGCGCATGTTTTTAACTCGCTTAGCCATGGCGTTCGACCAGCTCGTGGCCTCAGCACTGAATGGGACCTACGACGATGTCGACATGACGTTCTTCAATCTTCACGAGAAACATACGTCTCACCTCTTGTGGGCCACTGTTCAGAACTTGAACACCAAGTTCGCCGACACCATGAGAGATCGTGGCGCGAAACCGCGCGTTGTGGTCTCCTCGGAGGATAACTATTCCGACACGGAACTAGCTGAGGATGATGACGGTCAGATACTGGTGTCAGAGAACGACATGAAAAGACGAGGTAGATTTCGCACCAGCTCGGGTTTACACAATGAAGCTTACTGTCTATACTGTATACGGCAAAGGCTACAATATCCGCATCATAGGGTGTTGTACTATACAGTACAGAATGATACACAGTCACAGTATGTTTCAGGTTTATACACCCGCAGTAATCGGGGGTATATTGATTTTACCTATTTGTGGCGCTGACGGAAGGTGACATCCGTAGCCTCCTCGAACTGAAAAGGTCCGTCACACCACGCGTTCTCATAGTTTCGTATGACCAGGGATGGGCTGTCGGCTCTTATATCCGCATTTAGTACGTTTCAGAACGTCACGACGAGACTGGAGTGGGATCTCAGTAGGATATACGACCGCTTATTGTGGTGTCTTCCATGCTCGTCGGGGTTGACGAGTACGTCCATGCTGATTTAACCTTCTACTGTACCTCATTAAGTACGTCGTACATAGTTATGTTGATATTTTGCTCTGTCAGAGCTCCGTGCTCAAAGGAAGTGCATCGCCGGATAAATCTTCCGTTCTCATTTAGTATTCCCGTCGTTCTGTGGCTATGTGTGTGCGCGTGTGTGTGAGAGAGAGAGAGAAAGGGAGAGACGTGCGTCGAAGGGTGTCAAACTCTGAGGTAAGATGAAAGGGCAATATCGGTCGCAAAGGAACCGCAGATAATAGACTCTTCAATGTATCACGAAAGTAGTCGCTGGAGGCGTACATGTTGTCTCTTATCGGAAACTCTCGACTTAATATAGATCTATCTGTTTGAGTGGTACGAGCGTACTGAATAAGGTGTCCTACAAACCTCACTCTAGGGCATATACGCTATATACAACTTTCTTCATGGCTGAGGGCTGTTCTATCGCTTATACATCTTGAACAGCCGCATTACCATATGTTGATAGTGTTTATGAGCGATCATCTGTCTTCAATAGGAGACAAATCACTGACAATATTATTATTCGATCAGGGGCTGGTGTAATAGCTCGTTCCTCACGGTGCGAATCCTAATGCTTACATCTCTCTATATGCTATCTAGAGTCACCGGCCTAACCGGCATATGGGACATCGACATTTTTCCCTTCTCCAATACTGTTGGCCGTAGTGGACAGTGATTTCTTCCGCATCATAAATATTTTCTTCGGCAACGATTGCCATCCTAAACTTCCCTGATACCCTCATGCCCTTGAAGCGGGCCAATGGGTCACAACTGTGATTGAACAGTCGAGAGATATTGCCGGACTCAGCACAGTTAATCTGGGCGACTGTGGGCTCGCCAGGGATATCGCCCCGGCCCACCTGTATACATTGACCATTGTCGTACGTATCGGGAGGCGCTAATGTCCCCGTAAGGAAGGCGATAATGGTGCCCTTCGAATACGCGATTTGGCCCACTTCCTTCGCGACGGCTTGCAGACCTCGATTTTCGCCCCCATATTTGTCGTTATAATTCCGAATGCGAGGCGGTGTCTCGTGACGAGTGGCGGCGCAATGGCAATTTCTCTCATGGCACAGGTCGCACGGGCAGTTGCTCTGATGACACAACTTGCACGGAATCCCTCCAGAAGGAGGCAGGGATGTTGGGTCAACCGGCCACGGTGAGTCGTTGGGCCAGTCTTCAGGTCTGGGCCACTCTGGATATGCACCAGGATCATATATGTTTTCGTCCTTTGCTGGGAAGTCTTCCAGAATGGAGACCAACTCTCCGTCCGAAACTTTGTCCAATGATACGCTCAGGTTTGCCCAGATGAAGTCGACATCGTCTGCCGCGGGATCCAGGGAGTGTTCAAATGCTCTCCCCGCGACGCAGAGAGCGGGCATATACTCGGTCTTCAGATGAGAAAGTAACGAGGCAAAGTCTCCTTCGTCGAGGTTGAGCCCAAGATGTGGGAGAAAAGCTAAATTTTTGCGTTTCGAAGGGGATGAAGCAAAGGATACCTGGAAACGCCATGCAGTATTCCCGCCACTTCGCCCCCTGAGTTCGATGGTACTGGCACTGGCGGCGGTTCATCCCCGTGCGCTGAAGAATTTTTGCAATGACAGCTGGGTCACTCCTTAGACGGCCTTGGTTGATCTCGTCGATATGATCGGCAAGACGGACTTGGAACAACCGAGTAAGGAAGTTATGAAAGGCAGTCTTGCGTGAAAGCATACTGAGGAATTTCACATCGTTCTCGAGCATTTGGGCCGGATCTTGGATCCGAAGTTGTCTTTTGGACGCATTTGTGGTGAGATATAATCGTATCGCTGTGGGTTCGGGGTCTCGACGACCGTGGACAATATCGAGGAACTGCTGGATTGCGTCTCTACTCCGAATAGCCGTCACCATCCGTGAGACTAGATCGTTGCGGATCTCAGTTTCAGTCATTACCGTATCGGCTGAACTGTGCATAGTCTGAATCGTCGTCTTTTTGCGAGAGTGCTGCTGGATCGGCGCGTCTCTAGGCCTCTTTCGGGGTCTGGCCTCCTGCTTGTTCATCCTAAGTTCGTTCGCTGTCGCTTTACCGTCCCGGGTCGGCGCACGGTTTCTACCTAGCCGCTCGCGTCCTTGAGACTGTATCGAGTCGTGAACTGGCTGTGAAACTTCGTCGCCTTGCTCGCGCTGTGGCTCATTCGGGGCACGGAACTCCAAAAACGCATTTGGGATAGGAAATCCATCGCAATTGGGGCTGCATTCAGAGTAACCTTCGATGCTCCAACCAGGGTGGCCATAGTTCACGGCTTCGGCAACGGTGGGGCCAACGGTACCACCTTGATGGTAGCTGTCGCCCCACACCACGACCACCTCCCGCGCACGTTGGACCAATGTGACAAAGGAAGCACCCATGGCTCTGAGCTTTGACCGCGGAATCCAGCGCGAAGCGTGTCGTACTTTCTGTTCACATTTCCCGCGTTTCACTTCGTTTTCGACGAGGTAGCCATCTTTCCGAGCCAC